CAAACAAATACTGCGGTGCCTCGCTAGACAGTTACCCTGCATGACCGGTTTTTCACTAGACATTGACTTTTTGCGATCGCTATAGTGATTCGCAAAACAGTGGTTCCTATGGGGGAATTTCGCTGGACAATGTTTGGTCCCTGCTTCGCAAACCAATTTTCACTAGACGACGATTTTGACAGCTCCCTTTGCACTCACAAAACGGGTGTTTTCGGGACCTAAGCTTTGCAAGACAGCAATTTAAACAGCTGATCGGCGGTTCGCAAAGCGGCTTTCCTAAGGCCGATCTTCGCTAGACAACGACGATTCTGCCCCATTGGAATGCATTAAACAGGTTTCAATGCATTCCAATGGGGAAATGCTTTTCGCTAGACAATGATTTCACTAAACAGCGATTTCAGTGGAACGGATTATCATCGTCTAGCGAGGCACCACTGTAAATTCAAAAACATCAGAAAGAACCCCATTCACCAGCTCCAGCTTGGAAATAAGAACAGAACTTCCAAATCCAGGGGAATGTGTGGAAGAGCTTTCCTTCTTGACAGTCTTCTGCAACTCCTCAGGGAAATCTTTCTGCAAAAACCCTCCGTGGACTGACCGCCCAGTCGCTGTCCATCCAAGCCCATACATGGCAAAAGAAGCCAAGTAGGGTGCTTAGAAAAGGGGGGACCCGGAGCGCTGAAAGGATCCCACTGGCAGGAGTGCCGGATCCTGCTGACAGCGGGCATTTATCTCCAGAAGGAGCAGGCTCTGCCTCCATCCATCGTGAAACGGGATCCACTGTTGCAGACTGCCTGCATCCACCACCGCTGATCCAGCCACTGACTCCTCTTTAGGGCTCAGAAGAATCCTCCTCCAATCCTTTCTCCTCTTTGATTTGGCTGTCTTGAGCCAACGAGACACTTCAACGAGGGATTTTTCAAGTCCACCATCCAGGAAGGGGACAAAGCATGCCACCCACTGGCACACGTTCATTTGCATAAAATGCATCTCTGAAAAATTCATATGTCCAGACTGAAAAAGGGACCCATCCAGGTTTACCCAGTGAGTTCATAGTTCAGTGAAAACACTCGAACCTGGACCTCTGACGTTCCCATCCTTAATATACTTCACTTGCTTTCAGGCCACTCCTATTGATATCCAGTCAGTGCCTCCCCCCAAATGTACATGAATTTGATTGGGTACAGTAAAGATGCTAGCCAGATCTTTTTAGGGTCTGGTACTCCATTTAGAGATATTATTCAACAATTGCGCTCAGAGAACCCAACAGCGGCATGAGTGAATGGTGGTACAACGGAAACTATATCTCTAGGCTGAGGAACGTGGCCAGGCGGTCCCCTCACTCCAGCTTTGTTTGTATTGACCAGACAAGCAGTTAGGAATGATGAAGAAATAAAAGGAATAGGGTATAGAGAAAAAAGAAAATAAACTTATTTGCAGATGACACATTGATAACAATTCAGGATCCAATAGATTCTGTAGAGGGGATGCCTCGAGTTACAACCGTCTTGACTTGCAACCAATTTGAGTTAAAACCAGCTCCGGTCACAACATTTTGCTTTGACTTGCAACCGGCGCTTTGAGATACAACAGGAAAAGAGGCTGCTTTTCCCCATTATTCCCTCCCTCCTTTCCTGTCCGGGAAAAGAGGCTGCTTTCCCCCATTATTCCCTCCCTCCTTTCCTGTCCTTTTTTTAACCTTAGAGGTAATCCTAGGGTTTTTTAAAAAGTATCCTCTTAGTGGTAGAGGACAGATTAACCGCTTTTGCATTCCTTCTTATGGGAACTAGTGCTTTGAGTTACATCCAAAAATGGCCAGAACGGATTAATCGCGTTTCGATGTATTCCTATGGGAAATGGTACTTTGAGTTACAACCAACTTGAGTTACGACCATTTTCTGGAACGGATTAAGTTCGCAACTCAAGGCACCGCCGTATTTAAATTTACTCGAAGAAGTAACAGCATTAAAGGCAAACTGGAGTAAATCAGAATTTATGTTGTTAAATTATGATAACAAGGAGAAGCAAAGAATGAAGGACAGATTGAGGGTAAATCGAATAATATTATTAAATATTTAGGGATAACTATTACTTGGAATTTACATTACAAAATTGAATTTTGATATTAAAAAAACAAATCAAGGAATTTCAAAATTTAAAAATATCTTGGTTTGGCAAAAATAGCTTTATGTAAAATGAAAATTATTCCCAATTTTTTAAATTATTACAGTGGTGCCTCGCTTAACGAGTGCCTCGCTCAACGATGAATTCGCATAACGATGGCCTTTGCTGGAAATTTTGCCACCTCACCTAACTATGTTTCCTATGGGGGATTTTCACATAATGATGTTTGGGACCTTGCTTCACTTAACAATGACAGTTTTAGGTCCCCTGTTTTGCTTAACGTTTTTTTTGACAGCCCTGTTTTCGCTATTTTAAAAATATTCTAAAATGTTTAAAAATGTTCAAAATGCTTGGAATCATTAGTGCACCTAATAAAACCTTCGTTAAAGTAATTAGGCTTCGTTCTGAGTCTTTTTGAATTTTTTGTGATTTTTTTTCACCATTGAAATGTATTGAATAGGCTCCTATTGAAACGGATTAACCGGTTTTCAATGCATTCCTATGGGAAATGGTGTTTCGCTTAACAATGTTTTCACATAACAATGTTTTTAATGGAAGCAATTAACATCGTTATGCGAGGCACCACTTTATTTTGGATCTTACCCATAAAGATTAGTGAAAAGGAGCTAAAGGAATGGCAGACAATGATTGACATGAATTGCAATGGAAATAAAATCAATAAAAAGTTAAGGTATACACCAAAAATGAGGGAGATTTAGGTTTACCCCATACAGTGGGGTCTTGACTTGAGAACTTAATCCGTATTGGAAGGCGGTTCTCAAGTCAAAAAGTCTGTAGGTCAAGTCTCCATTGACCTACAGTGCATTGAAAACCGATTAATCCCATAACAGGCCGTTTTTGTTCCATTTTGATTTTTTTCTGGTCTGTAAGTCAAATCTCAGTCTGCAAGTCAAACCTAAATTTTGCGGCCAGAGAAGTCAAAAAGTCTGTAAGTCAAGCCGTCTGTAAGTCACGGGTCCACTGTATTAAATTACCGGTATATTACAAAGCAAACCACTTGAGACATATTCCAGATACTATAGCAAATAATTAAAATGTAATTTGGAGAGATTCTGAATTTTGTGATAGAGAGGAGATTATGGAGAATATTTCCTTCAAAGAAAATATCAGAGACTTGATTAAAAGGACTGATCATGCTTTTCTAAGTAATATGTCAATAAACTGGAAAAGTTCAGGGAATACTAAGTCCACCAATGTTTCCTTTTAATCAGGTGGCAGAATTAAAGAGTTTCCTAAAAGACCTGAAGAGGAAATCAAAGAAAGTATCCACTGAGCAGAGAGTGAGTATAATAAAAGATTGAGTAAAGAACACGTATAAGAGGGAGCAAATCTAAGAAATATTGGGAGAAGAGGGGATTTCATGGCTAAACAGACTTCACTTGGAAAACTGGACAAAGGAATGAAGAATAAAGGAAGGAGGGGGCAGAGCAGAGGCAACATTTAAGGAAACGGTTGAAAAAAAGAGAGAAGATAGAAATGAATAAAAACAGAAAGGGGACCATAAGTGTACTACACAAGATGTTAACATGGGCAGGGTGCAAAACAATAGTTTTAAAAGGAGTACGGTAAGGAGGTTTGACTAAACAAATTGAAGGAAAAAACTGGAATAAAATATGGAGTAAAAGAATATTGAACAATTTGTCCATAAGGGGTAAAGAAAATTGTCATGAAGTAGTATGGAGGTGGCACGTCACACCAGTGACACTGAATTTATTAAACAAAATTGTATCACCTTTACGCTGGAGGGACACATTTACAAATGTGGTGGACTTGTGAAATGAGGAAGAAGGGCTGTCAGTGATGTTTATAAAGATTAGAAAAATTATGGGTATTGGCGTACAAATGTGTCCAATGTTAGCTAAAAAGGGGAGAAAGGGAATTAATTATTATTATAGTATCTGTTGTAAGGGTGATACTTGCAAAGAATTTCAAGAATAATAATCAACTTTGTATAAAGAAATGAGGAATATGGCTATTAATGATAAACTAACCTGTGAGGTCAAGATTAGAAAAGGAATAGTGAAATGTTAGGGCCCTGTACGTAAATATTTCTGGAATGAAATGGGGTAGTTAAAAAAATATAAAGTAAAATAAATACACAAGTTTGTCCCGAGGGTTGTGAGGAGCACATATTTATGTGTTTTCTTTTTCTTTTCTATTTAAGCTGATATGTTAGTTGCATTTTTTATATTTGTTGTTCTATTATTGTAAATATTTTTAAAAATAAAAATGGACTCAGATAGGATCAATTTCTGCTTACAATCCCTTTGCTTAATTGGCTAAAGATTTATCCCAATGGAATAAATCAGAAACCAAGACCATTTCTGATTCACTAGGGTACCCAACGTGGGCACACACAAAAATGCATCTCTGGGGGCACAGGAATTTTAAAACACAACGGTTCCCCCAAAGATTTAATTCCAGGCAAGGAGCTGAGAAAGAAAACAGCAACAGGAACATAACCACACAGGTGCTCTTTGACAGCTTCTTTGTAGCAGGGAAGAAGTTCAACCAATACCCCTGGGAGACCCTGAAGACGAGCAAGGCTGCTTGGGCATTCGAATCCGGGCACTGAGCAGTCCGTGAGCCGAATAAAATACGTCAGCCTTTAAGGGGCCAAACCAGATGCCCTTCCTATGCAATGGCTCATTGCAACGAATTGACAAGGTGTCGAGATGCGTCTCCATTGTGAACCCGGTCACATGGCAAGCGGCACCACCGAGAGGCGCTCCTGCGTCGTGCCAAGGAGGGCATCGCACAACCCTGAAAACAAGCCCCCCCCTCCCTGTTTTTCCAACAACAGCCTAGCTTGGCCACCGCAACCCACTTAGAAAAGAACAGAAACGGGGGCTTACCCTGACAAGACACCAAGCACCAGGTTCAGCATGAAGAAAGAACCAATAATGATGAGAGGGATGAAGTAAAGCCAGTTCCACATATTTCCTGCGGCATCGTTGGTCTGAAAAAAGAAAAAAATAGCGGTGGAAGGGGGGGAAGCATGCCTCAATTTGTCGTAGACTGAATGTTTTGCTTTAAGACTCTTCACAGTACCCATACGGATGCGAGGACTCTCAGACCTGATTTCTCCCTCTTGAAATCCCACCAGTGCTTTTTGGTTACTGGGAGCCCAGAGGGAAGGGGCCCAAACCAGGCAGGTCTTTGTAAGCCTTCCAGAAGAGTTTAGCATGATGATGGCCCCTCCTGCTCCCCTCCACACACACACATACACTTGACTTTGCTCCTCAAAGGGTCAGGGAATGTCACCCACTCCTGTCCTGCTCATTAGCGGCTGGAAGCCACGAAGCAAAATCGATTTGTATGCATTCAGCTAAAATATTTTAATGGTTTGATGCCTGGATGCCTGTTTACGCAGCTCTGTTGCTACCCCACCCCCAACCCGAGCTCAAACACGGAGCTAGTCAGATAGGACTGAGCTGGGAAATAGAAAATACTTTGAATATGTCAAGAGTATTACACATCACAACGCAGACAGAAGGTGTCCGGTGTCACAGAGGAGACAGGACCTCTGTCTGAAAATTTCCCAAGGCTCAACACAGACAACTCGGCTGCTACGGCCTCTGTGTCTCTAGAGAAGGGAAATTACTATCACCCCCTCTCGGTGGACTTTGCCAGAAGGCAAAACGGGGCAATGGCAGAGAAGCTGCCTTGCACGCAGTCAAGCCGTTGCCACGTGGCCCAATCCTGTCAACGCTGACTGGCAGCAGGCACTTGGCAGAGTTTTGGTCAGGATTCTTCCCTCTCTCAGCCCTACCTGGAGATGGTACCCAGGCGTGACCTTAGGACGTTCTGTCCAAAAGACACGTGCTTACAGCCTTAAGAACCTGTAAGGATCTTGTAAGCCACCTTATATTGGAGTCCTTCCATTTGGGTGAAGGCAGGTTACAAATAAAATGAATAGTAAACGAGCACTGACATGTGGACTCCCATTTCATAGGCATGGATTAGACCTGGAGATACACCCATAGCCACCTGGCACCATTTAAATCCCTGAACACCCATCTTCTCCCAGGCTGGAGAGAAACGACGATGGGAGACACTCCACACAGAAGGTCCACCAGGCTGGCTTTGCCACACACCTCAGAGGAAACCTCTTCATGCACTGAAACAGTTGACTCCGTATATAAAAGCAGTTCACCATTAAGAGAAGGCTGGCTCGACAAAGCCTTCTGGAGGTGTCGTTTTGTCTGTGCGCTTCCAAATGACCCACAATTGCATTGCCAAATTCCAATGGCTTAAACATCAACAGTTAGCCTTCGGCCAAACAACCGATTTGAGGAGGACCCTATTTCCAGTGGCGTTCAATGTGTGCCTCGGGACCTGCATCCCGCCAGACTCAACCACCTCTGGGGGGAGAAACAAGTACTGGCCAAAGGCATACCATTCATTTAACTGCTAGTCACCTCTAGCTGATCTGGAGCAATTAGAAATCTAATCATACCCAAAAGGATGGAACAGTCTCAACCTTCCTCCGTCTACCTTTCCCTAGGACTTTTCAGATTTCTGTTCCACCTCTGCTTCTTAGCCTAGCTTTTTACGTTTTATTTATTTCATCCCACTATGGGTGCACAACACAGACATGAACAAAGTTGAACGGAATCCAAAAATCTCAGGTGCAGAACTAAACTCAAAAATCTCCACGCGTGGATGTAACTCACCCAGGAGTTGACTTTCTTTCCAGGCACCTGGTTTTTAGTGTCAACACAGAGAGCAGCCACTGCTCAAGTGCTGAGAGGAGTTGAGAACTGAAAATCAGAAGATGATCCAAGAGCCTTGGTGGAAGGGATCCAAGATGTCCACAATTGACCAACATCTTCATTTCCCCTAGAAGCAGTAGGAGCCCATTGGCCCTGGTAAAAAAGAATTGTTGAATCCCTTTTGAATTTTTATCTACATTTTTTTAAAAAATGATGAATTTGTTTTGTAAATATGGTTCAGCCCCTTGGATAGATTCCGTAAAGTCTAAAACCTGGAGCGGATGGCGCCATATTGTTTCCCTGAAAATAAGGCAGGCTCTCCTATTAATTTTTGCTCAAAAATGCAGTAGGGCTTGTTTTCAAGGGATGTTTTTGCTTATTTTGAAGGGATTTTTTTCATGTACAATCATCTACATTTATTGAAATATAATCACTTCTTCTTCTGGTTGCTGCACAGTGGCAGAGGGCGAGGTTTCACTCAACTGGGGCTTATTTTTGGGGTAAGGCATATATCAGTGGTCCCAAACCTTGGGCCTCCTGATGTTCTTGGACTACAACTCCCAGAAGCCTTCACCACCACCTCGAAGGGATTTTTTTCATGTACAATCATCTACATTTATTGAAATATAATCACTTCTTCTTCTGGTTGCTGCACAGTGGCAGAGGGCGAGGTTTCACTCAACTGGGGCTTATTTTTGGGGTAAGGCATATATCAGTGGTCCCAAACCTTGGGCCTCCTGATGTTCTTGGACTACAACTCCCAGAAGCCTTCACCACCACCTCTGCTGGCCAGGATTTCTGGGAGCTGAAGTCCAAGAACATCTGGAAGCCCAAGGTTGGGGACCACTGGCTTATATGACGAACATCCTGAAAAATTTACTAGGGCTTACTTTCAGGTTAGGTCTTAGTTTGGGGGGAAACAGGGTACCAAGAACCCTAGCAGATGTCAAGGAAAGGCCCACAGGCAGGACACGAACAAGAAGCCTAGCAGATATCAAGGAAAGGCCCACAGGCAGGACACGAAGGCCAAGGAGGGCCCTGTCCTTGGGCAGAGTGGGGCAGTCCCTGCTGGTCGCAGGTCCTGGAAAGCTGCAGGAAGGTCTGGAAGGAGAGGGCAGCGGGCCTCGGGGAGCCGTAAATAGACAGCGACCGCTAGGGAGCTTGAAAAATCATTTTTAAAAATCACTTCAACAAATTAAATACAATTTAAAATAAAATGAGGTTAAAATTAAAATGTGCTTAAAATTAGCTCAATCAAATAAAATTGATTTAACATTTTAAAAATTGTTACCTTCAATTGTTATTGCAGATTGTTAAAATAATATTTTAAATAATAAAAATGTGTTATATTTTTCAGCAGTGTGTGTGTGTCTGTGTGTTGCTGAAAAATATAACATTATTTTTATTATTTAATAATCAATATGTATTTTAATTATATATATATAGTCATATAGTATATAAATTAGACACACAGACAGACAGACAGATAGATAGTTTTAATCAATAGATGACAGCGCTACATAACTATTTTTTGACTGCACTAACCCATTAGATATCTCTATTTTGAACTTAAACAAACTAATGATTTGACAAATTGAGTAGTAAACCAATCAAATTGTAAGCAAACCACTAATTCAATAGGAGTTTACTACGTCAGTATGTACACCAATTTCAACAAGTATGTAAGTTTATGGGATTCTACTCCCAAGAAAAGGCCTACTTCAGTCTCAGCTAATACGGACTGGATTAGTTGAAACTGAATTTAATAATGTTTTAAGACTGAATTAAGCTGCCTTGAGAATTTCACCTTCTTTTTCTTGAGAATCTAACAAAGGGGTTTCCAACCTTGGGTCCCCAGTTCTTGAACTACAGCCCCCAGAAGCCCTTGCCACTGCACTAGTTGTGCTGGCCAGGGTTTCTGGGAATTGTAGACCAAGATCATCTGGGGACCCCAGGTTGGGAAGCCCTGATCCATGGTCCTGTCAGCAAAGCTGAAGAAAGATTCAGCCAGATTCTGTATGCTGAATGGAAAGCAGAACCAACTTGGTCTTCATCCCAGGCCAAAAAATATCTGCGGGTGACCCCAACGAGGGCAGGATCCCCCTCCTACAGTTTCACCCAGCTTGTTGCCAGGAAGCTGAACTGTCACGGATCTCAGCAACGTAGAGCAACCCTCGTGGGGCTTTCAAGGCAAGTGAGATGTTTAAGGAGTGGTTTTAAAACACCCCCAGGCCGTTTCCATGGCCTCCAAGGACCTAATTCATTGCTCTCTTGGCTACACCACCCTGGGTATCTGTTATACGACCTCCCCCCTCCCACTTGTCTCTGAAGGACCACCCCATGGGCGTCCCAGGGTCCCTAAATCTTAGGGGGGAAAGGGAAGACTGATATCATTGCTGTCGTCATCATCACCTTAGAATGGCAGAGCAGGAAGGCACCCTTTGGATCATGGAGTCCAGCCCTTCTCAAGGAGGCACAGAGCGGGAATCAAACTCCCAACCACGGAGCTATACAGCACGGCAACCTCAAGAGGTGCTAACAAGCCACCCCATGGCTCCCAACCCACTTCCAAAGAAAGACAGCCATGGTGTAATTATGGAGCTTCTAGAGCAGGATGCGTGCAAGAGACACACGGGTCTCTGGTCCAACGGTTATCGTAGCCTTTAGGGCCACCTCTTTCATCAGCGGTCTTCTCGAGCGTTGTTTCCTTATGGGCTCCGAAGCCAGCTTGTGCACCAAGCCTTTCATTACAGTGCTCGCTCCTTATTATCTTTGTTTCCCAAATTAGCTCTGGCTATAATTTCTTTTCCTTGCTTTTAATAGGCTCTGCAGATTGCAAAGTCCACTGTGTCACTTTTATTAACCGAGGAAATTTTGGGCAGCTGCTGTTAATAAGCTGGCAACTTTGGTAGCAAAGGGAAGGAGCCAAATCAATGCCATGCCACGCGCCGTGTTGGGTCCCAAAGCTTTCCCTTCTAATGCAGCTGCGCCTGAAGTCAGGAGACTCTCGGCTGTCGTCGTAATTCTCAAATCCATTGGCTCCTGAGTGGCAAGTGAAGATCTGCATGGTCTCCATCTTTCACTCATGAGCCCACAACAGATGAAATCATTTATTTTCCTTTTGCCAAACCTAATATTATTGTCCATCCACAGCTATCGGAATCCAAAGAAAGCTTTGTTAAACTGACCCTAACCACTGGGCCACCTAGCTAAGCCTTGTCACTTCAGACAGGCAGAGGGGGGC